GATTTTCGGGGGTAGCATCAAGAGCAATAATCATCATACGAGTTCTAGGAAGAGAAGAGAGTCATGGGGATACAGAAATAGAAAGATTATTTAAGGATAGCAGAAAACTTTCCAAATCTGGAAAAAGAAACATTCAGGTACAGGAAAATCAAAGTTCTCTGATCAGATTCAACTCAAAAAAGAATACACTAAGACACTTTGTTAAAAAAAAAAAAAAAACAGCGGATCCAGGTTCCAGGACTAACCTCACACAGCAAACAGTCAAAAATCAAAAAGGATTTTAAAAACAAGAAAAAAGATCACATCTAAGGGCATTCCAATAAGACTAATTCCATGAGGTTTCTCTGCAGAAACCTTATGAGGCAGGAGGGAGGACAATAATCAAAGTGCCGAAGGAAATCAAAGGAACTCAATTATGAGAAAAGAAACCAATTAAAAAAAAAAGCAAGAGGAAAAACCCAACCCACATAATTACTTCAATGGCCAGCAGGTATATGAAAAGATGCTCATCACCACTAATTATCAGAGAAATGCAAATCAATAAGATACCTCCTTACACCTGCTAGAATGGCTATTATCAGAAAAGAAAGGGGAATATTTGCACATTATTGATGGGAACGTAAATTAGTAAAACCATGGAGAGTTCTCAAAGAAAAGCAGCAGCATATGATCCAGGAACACACTACTGGATGTGTACCCAAAAGAAAATGAAGGCAGTACATCAAACTAGATCTGCACTCTCATGTTCACTGCAGCGTTATTCACAATGGCCAAGATATGAACTCACCCTAAGGGCCCATCAATAGATGGATTTTCTAAAATAGGTGTACATAGAGACACATTGGAATAGTTTTCAGCCTTAAAAAAGAAGGCAATCCTGTCATTTGGGACAACATGGATGAACCTGTACATGATATCAAATAAACGAAGGCACTGAAAGACAAATACCTCATGATCTCAGATGTGGAATTCAAAAAAGGATGAATCTGCAAAAGCAGAGAGGATAGTTGTTTCCAGGAGTGGGGATGGAGTGTTAGGGAGATGTTGGTCAGTGACTACAAGATTTCAGTTAGACAAGAGGAATACTTTAAGAATTCTGTTGTTTAACATGGTAACTTTAGTTAATAACAATATATTGTACACTTGAGAATTGCTAAGAAATTTTTAAGTGTTCTCACCACACATGTGCACACACACACACACACACAAAGTAGTGCATAATTAATTAGCTCAACTTAGCCATTCTATACTAAATATGTATTTCAAAATATATTGTACACAATACACCAATTTTTGTCAATTAAAAATAACCATAAAACTGATTTCAGAGCATGCTACAGGGATGCTGCCATATCGATGTTCATAACAGCACAATTCACAATAGCTAGACTGTGGAACCAACCCAGATGCCCTTCAATAGATGAATGGATAAAAAAAAATGTGGCATCTATACACAATGGAGTACTATGCAGCAATAAAAAATGACAAAATCATAGAATTTGCAGGGAAATGGATGGCACTAGAGCAGATTATGCTTAGTGAAGCTAGTCAATCCCTAAAAAACAAATACCAAATGTCTTCTTTGATATAATGAGAGCAACTATGAACAGAGCAGGAAGAAAAGAGTAACATTAAACAGAGACATGAGATGGGAGGGAAAGGGAGAGAAAAGGGAAATTGCAGGGAAATGAAGGGAGATCCTCATTGCTATACAAAATTACATATAAGAGGTTGTGAGGGGAATGGGAAAATAAACAAGGAGAGTAATGAATTACAGTAGATGGGGTAGAGAGAGAAGATGGGAGGGGAGGGGGGGATAGTAGGGGATAGGAAAGGTAGCAGAATATAACAATTACTAATTGGGCATTATGTAAAATTGTGGATGTGTAACCGACGTGATTCTGCAATCTGCATTTGGGGTAAAATTGGGAGTTCATAACCCACTTCAATCTAATGTATGAAATATGATATGTCAAGAGCTTTGTAATGTTGTGAACAACCAATAAAAAAAAAACTGATTTCAAAAGTTGAAGACAACACAAATAAATGGAATGAGACTCCATGATCATCCACTAGAAGATACTATTAAAATTTCCATACTATCCAAAACAATCTATGGATTGAACACAATCATTCAAAATTCTGATGACACTTTTTTCATTAAATAATAAAAACCCTAACCAATGCAATAAAGCAGGCGATCATACTATCCGATTTAAAAATATACCATAGAGCAATAAAAAAACAACATGGTACTGACATAAGATATACCACACATCAAGGAGGAAGGATGGTCTCTTTAATAACTGGTACTAGGAAAACTGGATACCTGTGTTACCTTTCTGTTGTTATAACAAACACCCGAGAAAACCAATTTATAAAGAGAAAAGTTTTATCTTGGCTCACAGTTTTTGTAGGCTTCAGTCCAGATCCATGGGGCTTGTGGCTTTAGGTCTGTGGTGAGGTGCACAGAAGCACCTCGCAAGGCAAAATCAGGTATCTTGTGGCTGAGAGAGAAAAGGAGGAAGGGGAAGGGACAAGGGTCCCATTATCCCCCTTCAAGACACACCCCCAGTGACCTAAAACCTTCCATTAGGTCCCACCTCTTAAGTTTCCACCACCTTCCTGGAGCGCCACACTGGGACCCACACCTTTTAACACATGGGACTTTGGCAGCCGTTCCAGATCTAAACCACAGCAAAGTTACATGCAAAAGAGTGAAACTGGACCTGAAATGGGTCTTTGGCTAGGACACCAAAACACAGGCAACAAAAGAAAAAAAATAAAAGTAGAACTATATCAAACTAAAAAAGCTCCTTCACAGCAAAGGAAACAAAATGAAGAGGCAGCCTACAGAGGGTAAGGAAATATTTTCAAACCACATGAGGTAAAATGTAAAGCAGAATAAATAAATACATAAATAAAACACCAGCTAACCCACAAGGCTGAGTAGATGAGAGGCGTCAAACTTCAGCATGTAAAGAAGAGCCTCCAAGGCCTGAAGCTGACGTACAAAAACCTCAGAAGGTAGAAGAATATAAATGAAAATCCTAAATGATAAATTCCAGGAGCACACTGAGTAACTTTGCCACAGTGTATATGCAAGAGTGACAACATTAGGAACGACTGCTCATGCTAAGAATAGGTCAAATGAGGAAAATCACCATCATCTCAGATCAAGATGTACAATTCAACAGCACATAAAGAGGATCATTCACCATGACCAAGTGGATTTGTACCTGGAATGCAAAAATGTTTCAATATAAACTTTGAACAAATGTGGTACACCATATTAACAGAAATGTAGGACAAAAACCAATTATCTCAATAGATGCCCAAAAACCACTGGGCAAAATTCAACATCCTTTTACACTAAAAACTTAATTAGTATAGAAGAATGATAACTCCATAATCAAGGTTATATGTGACAAGCCCAAGCAAACACCATACTCAAGTTAAAAGTTGAAAGCTTTAATTCTGAGAAGAGGAAACAAGGATACCCTACTCTAACCACTGCTGTTCAATGTAATAGTACTGGGCATCCCAACCAATAAGCTATTAGGTGAGAAAAACAAAAGGTATCCAAATGTGGAAAAAAGTCAAATTGCAGTCTATTTGTAGATGATGATTTTATTATATATAGACAACCCCAAGGAAAGCTGAGTATGGTTGTGCATGCCTATAATCCCAGCTACTCAGGAGGCTGAAGCAGGATTGTATAAGCCCAGGAATTTCGGCCACTGCAGACAACATAGCAAGATCCCCATTTCAAAACTAAATAAGAAAAAATTGTTTACTGGCACAAGTATGAGAGAATTGGCATCCTTATCCAGAATTAGTGGAAGAGTGTTCCTAAACAGGAAGATGCAATAGCAAAATGCTCTTATCTTTTTGCCTTTACTTCCAATAATTTATCTTCTCAACTCACAAATTTTTGATATTATTTATTATGAACTTATAATTTCTAGTAGTATAATAAAATGATCTACTCACTGGGGGTTATTTAAGTGAATTATGTTTCTTCAGACTGGGATACTATATAGCTATTAAAGAATGTTAATCATCAGAAATAGATAGCTCAATAAAAACAATTCAGAAAAATGTTTATTTTCTTGTTTAAAAATGTGGGATGGTTTTTAAAATGTCATTTAAAATATTTTACTTATTTTTAAAATCTTAATCCAAAAGAAAATCTAACTTAGAATCAATGCTCATCTTAATTTAAAAAGTATGTTTTTGTCCCTATGATTAAATGACCATGTTTGGAGAATCACATGAAAATTGAAAGACCTCCTGTAGAGAAAAGGCACCAGAGGGAGGGAGGGAGGGAGGGAGGGACAGCGGAAATACCGAGGAACGAACTGATCAAATTATACCGTTGTTATGTGTATGTACAGATACGTAATAAACCCACTATTACATACAATTATAGTGCAACAAAAAATATGGAAAAAATTTTTGACCTACAAGCAACCCAGTTTATATGACTGTGGGGGGTAAGTTATGTTTTCTATTTTCCTAGTGTTAATGATGTCAATACAGGTTCATACTATTTAGTCTCAGAATACTTTTTTACTACTTGATAATGCAAGAATTGGGTAAAGATATGCTTTGTTACATATTTTCTATATGATATCAAAAATTCATTTAAATATTTTGCTGTTATGATTTTCAAAAAAATCACAAAATATATGTACTTATGAAAAAATATTGTCAATTAGCCAAATATTATTAATTCAGAATCAAGCCAGACATTTTAGAAACAGTACAAATTAGAGAGTATATAAATTTGAAAAATTTTTTTCAATCACATAATTTTAATGAACAATTAGCAACAAATGAGCAGAATTTGTGCTATTAGTTGGGTGTGATGGCACATGCCTGTAATCCCAGTAACTCAGTAGGCTGGGGCAGGAGGATCACAAATTTGAGGTCGGCCTCAGCAATTTATCAAGGCCCTGAGCAACTTATTGAGACCCCATCTTAAAATAAGCAGTAGACCATTTTCACAGGTAGCTTTATTTGGCTTTTAGAAAAATATATACAATAATCAGAACCTCGGTTCTCTTAAATAGTTTTAAATTAAAAGTATGCAAATGAGAGTAAGTGTATTTCCACAGTTAGAACATCAACACTGCTTAGTAAAGTAGCAGGTGGGAAATCCTGCAGCAAGTCAAAACCATTTACAGGAATTCGAAGAACTGAGCAGGAGTGGCTCTAGCAGGCAAGCTGGCCAGCCAGACCACATCTGGGGGCGGAAGGGATTTGATCTTTCTCCTTTAGCTTAAATTTGGGAAAGGAATGAAAGATTTACACAGTCACCTATCCTAAAGGCTGTAGCTTTGAGTAAAACATTTGAATAAAGAGGGTGGAAAGCCCTCTAGGACATATACTAATAAGCTTTGATCAAACCAAAGCTTGCCATTTGAATTTGGTATTCAGATGGATTTGGATATATTAGGATTATCTGTCAGTCACAACTCAATTGGTGGATATAACAAAACTTGAGGGCTTGGAATTGTCATTTATTCTGGATTAGACTCCCACTTTCTCTTGAACATTCTTCCAAAATGAATTCACAGTATCCAACAGTGTTTGCAAAAGATATTTCGGTTTGGCAACCCTGACTTCTACAAAGTTTTGAGAAGTTGAGCAAGGAGGCAATAGGAATTGCTTAGCTTTGTTCCAACCCTGCCCTTTTCCCCCACTACAGTAACTCCAAGCCAATTTCTCCAGGAGCATGGATGTCCCTCAACTGGCTCTAAGGTGTTTCTAGGAACTGCAGCCTAATGAGTGCGCCAGCCCAGAGGCCAATTTATCATGGGATTTCCTACAACACTTAAAAGGAACTGAATTGTAGAAATGACAACAGTTTTCTCGCTGTCTGAATTTGCTACATAAGCAAAGCAATGAAGCATATATCATGAGCAACATCAGCCTCTGAAGTCTGAATGGGAGAGGGTTGGTAAAGACACAGGTAAGTCAGTAGTAGAGTTGGAGACTCATTTAGGAATAAGGAGTGAGAGAGCGGTATTTTGTTCTCTGTGCATCTATTTCCTGCTTGCTTTTCTCAATGCAATTAAAGATCTCCTTAAACAGTGCTTTGTATTCTGGTGGTGCCGTGGTACTGGGAGAACTGATGGGCTCTGGGGTAACAGAGGCAGGTTCCCAGCTGCTGGCACTGGATTCAGACTGGGTGTTCACACCCATCAGGTCCTTGGCCAAAGCCCTGGAGGTCTGCACAGCCTTGTGGGACAGAGAGTCCTGTTCCTGCTGGCACTTCTTCAGCAGGTCTTCATACTTCACCTTCAGAGCACTGTATTGAGTGTCCACTTCATGCAGAAGGGAGATGCCTCTCTGCTTCACAGCCTTGGCCCTCCTGATGCAGGTCTCCTCGTGGCCCTTCACAATGTCACCCCCTGCCAAACTGCTAAGGACCGTCTCACTGCAGCTGCGCTTGAGAGGCTTTCTATGTGCCTCTGGCACAGTCAGGAACAACTCCTCCAGCAGGGTCTGGCTGGGCTCTTTGAATGAAACAAACAGAGAGTCTGGCACCAGCTTCTCAACCCCATTCACAAAAGGATGCTCAGCCTGCAGCATCTGCCGCATCTCTGCCACCTCAGCCTCCAACTCCAGCGCCCGCGCCCGGTAGGCATCCGTGGCCCCCAGCTGCTGTTCCAGTTCATTGTTCTCCTTCAGCACGAGCCCGTACTCCTCCTCCATGGTCATCCGCTTCTGCCGCTCTAGACTCAGCTGGGCCTGCAACATTGTCACTGTCTTTTTCAAGTGCTGGTTTTCTTCCTCATCAGGGCTTTGCTGACTTTGCAAGGAAGTGATCTTCTCAGCAAACACATGGTCATAAACAAAGTGTCTAGGGGAGAAATGGTGAAGGAATACAGCACACAGGTCAACCAAGCGTGCAAAGGAAGAGACTGGGTGTTTTTAAACTAAATCTAAGTTATTAATGGACCTTTATTTATTTATTTATTTATTTATTTATATGTGGTGCTGAGAATTAAACCCAGTGCCTCACACATATGAGGTAAGTGCTCTATTACTGAGCCACAATCCCAGCCCTTGAACTAAATCTTTAGTGGAGATAATGATTGATATTCAGTTTATTTCAAATCAGAGTAGAGGTTCAAGTGAAATTGTGAGGCTAGGAAATAAACACATGAAAGCAAACAATTTTTTAGCCCTATTTTGTATTTTATTTAGAGACAAGGTCTCACTGAGTTGCTTAGTGCCTTGCTTTTGCTGAGGCTGGCTTTGAACTTGCAATCCTCCTGCCTCAACCTCCTGAGCCTCTAGGACTACAGAAGTGTGCCACCACGCCTGGCTTAAAGTACACTTCAGAACATTCATTCCCAAAGACCACAGCATGACAGCTGCCTTCCTAGGAAATACAACAGCCCAGAGGGGTTCATGCCTTTGGCTGTAGAGCAAATCACCTACACAGCTGACATCTGCCTCCCACACCCCATCTATTCTGATCTTGCCGGTTGCTGCCTGGACCTGGAGGGTTAGTTTTAAAAGCTCTCTAGCAATTCATAACATTCAGGCAAGGTTAAGAGCCACTGCTATTATGACTTTTAACCAGCTTTTTACCTTCACTTGGAAACTCTAATTTAGGTCTGAGGGAATGTTGGTTATTTTCACTTTGAAAAAATTCCACAGGTGATCTGGTGGACAGTCAAGGAGAACCACCACCAAATGAACAATGGTCTCTCTCCTGTTCTGTCCTGGGCAACTTGGAACTGTATTTATTTGTGTAATTATAGCAGGACTGCCTCTCCACTAAGATGAAAGCTCACAAAGGCACCACACATTCCTCATGTATGGCAAAGCATTTGCTGCATATCAGGTGTTGAATAAATAGTTCTTAAAGATTTAAACTCATAACTCTAAATTATAAAAGGCATTTCTTCAGGCAAAAAAAAAAATATTCTCCTGGATTTTTGTTTTGCTGAAATTCCCATGTTTTTCCTTCACTTTAAGGCAAAATACAACTCAAAAATCTGTACTCTATCAGAAGTATTTCTAATCTTACATGAAGATTTAACACATTAAAGGTAATAAAATAAATGCTCCTGAGACTTTCCAAAATGAGTTTTCATAAAATTACTAGTACCCAAGAATTCAAATTTGTATGTTTAAATGGTTTTGTTAAAACCACTGGTAGTTTAATAGCCAAGTGCCATTCCCCCAAAATGGTACTTTTTAAACTACTGGAATCCAGGATGTGTCAATGACATGGATGTTTCAACTTATAAATCCACAGAAAAGTAGGTTCTTACTGGCGGAGGTCATATAGTTCCTTCAGACAGGAGAAGCTGGGTGCAGATTTCTCCTGGTCACATTTCCCCTGTCTTCTCCCTTGGCCAGATGACTTCAGCTCCTCCACTTGGCTCTGGAGGTGATCGATGTTGGTTTGTAGACATTCAATTGTTTCAGTCAGGCTGCGAGGAACACATAGAAGCCAATCACTCCTTGTCATATTATATTAAGGACAAAAGCAGTGGAGAGATTTTAGCCACGCAAACTGGGCTTTTCTAATTGGAAAGGACTTACAGTTAATCTTCATTCTCCCAAAAGAATTAAAATTAAACTTTACCCACATTGACCCAAACCCTCTACAGCTATGTGTACTCCAACTTAGACAAAATGACTCCTCTATAGAGTTTCCTCTATAGATTCTAGAAAGTTTACCTCAGAATTTTTTGCTGTGAGGCCTTGCTTTCAGCAACTAGCTTTTGATTTGTTTCTTCCAGTTCCCTTGCTGTGATATCTAATTGTTCGTAAACTTTTGCATGCTGTTCATTCATTTGCCGTAGAAGCTCCACCTGCTTGGTCAGATACTGTAAGAGAAGATAATTGCAACAAGGTGACACAAGCAGATACAACACTGAGAGGGTTTCAACCCCAATTCTCTGTTTCTCTCAAACCAATTAGTGTGGGGTGAGGACTGGTGCAGCACTTTATCTCTGGGCTCAGCACCCTCCTGGCACATCCACGTGCTTTCCAACCCAATAGCTCCTGTAGCTTTGTTTTAGTTTTATCAAAAAGCTTCATGTCAGGCTGGGGATGTGGCTCAAGTGGCAGCGCGCTCGTCTGGCATGCAGGCGGCCCGGGTTCGATCCTCAGCACCACATACCAACAAAGATGTTGTGTCCGCCGAGAACTAAAAAATAAATATTTAAAAAAAAAAAAAAAAAGCTTCATGTCACAGGTATGACCAACTCAATTAATGGCCACTGGTGCCTGACTCAGAGGCTGAGGAGTGGGCTGATAGT